TTTTGTATCTACAACTATCCCAACCTGGGCAGAGGTAACAGCACCCTAGCAGGCCTGTTAGGCCACATTGCACTGAGAGGCATTCTTGATCACCTGGCATAATGCCCACTCTTCTAGTCCTTCCAATTATTTTGTATACATCTTCTCTGTATTACAGCTTTTCCTGCTTAAAATAGCTGAAGTGGTTTCTGTTTCCTGCAACCGAGCTTACCCTAATAAAAATACCCATCTCAAATCAGTAGCTAGACTCTAGAGGCATTCCTGTGAAGTTCAGGAATAAGGCAAGGAAATTAATTATTCACAGCATTATTTAGCATCACTCTGGAAGTGCTATTTAATTATAAGTCAAGATAATAAAACAAGTATTGCAAAGAAGGAAGCAAAAATGTCATTATATATAATAAGATGATATAACTGTTTACCAAGGAAATTTGAATAAATAAACTGAAAATAAAGACTTAAGAAAGTTCAGCCATTGAATCTAGATAAACACAGTCTTCATCATACATATTTACTCTGCCACATGAAGCATCAAAGATGAATAAAACTGAACTGGAAAGAATCTGGTAGAAAATGGTTTGGAGACAGCCTTTTCAAAATGTATCATTTCTAGGGAGAAACTAAACAGTACAACTTGAGAGACCACAGTGATTCCCTGGTACATTTGGTGAGGCCTCCCAAATCTATTATCATATTTAAGGAAATAATATGTGTAAAGTCCTAAATATGCCCAGTAATTGATAAGGGCTCCTAACTAGCAGCTATTGTTATTACTATCATATTACAATTACTAAAATGATCCTTGCCTTGTAGGTCCTTATAACAGAACTACATTGATGGAAACTGGAAAAAAAGAAAATTCAGTGAATGAGTCAGTTAAAAATTCAACAAAAACATCAGTAGCTTTCCTATGGAGCAACAATAACCATTTAAAAAGCATAGAAAAAGAAATAATCTAGTCCAGTAGCCCCCAAAAATGCATAAAGTAACTGAGGAAAATAAATTAATAAAGTTAATGCAATTTCCATGAAAATTACAGCTTTTTTTTTAAACTTGGAAAATTTTATAAAGTTATCTGGAGGAATAAATATTCAAATACAGATTTAAAATTCTGAGAAAGACTAAAAAAAGTCTTGTCCTATGACATATTGAAATATAAAACTGCAACAAAAATATACTGATTTTGCTTCCAAAATGGATACACTAATCAATTAAATAGAAGAGAAACACCAGAAATAGATCCAACTATATAAAAGAATTTAATATATGGCACAAATGTTGGGACATCAGTGAGTACAAGTATGGATTCTTCAATAAACTGTATTGTAGCAGATAACTTTTTGAAAAATTATATTCTTATGTCACATTTTATACTGGAATAAATTCCAGTTGGATCTGTTAATAAATAAAATAATCACTCATAGTTAAAAAAACAACAGTTTATAAATAGAAGAAATTAAAGGAGTTCTAAAATACATAAGTAAATATCAATATTATTTAGTTTAATAAAGGTTTTTTCAGCTAAACATCGAAGCCAGAAATCATGAAGAAAAGTTTGATAGACTATTTAGAAATTATAGTAAAACAAGTAGTTTTAGCCCTCCCCCCCAAAAAAATGATCAATTAGAGGAAAAACTGGAACATATATGAGGCAAAAGAATGTTTTTCTTATAATGCAAGGGGTTCATATAAATTAAGAAGGAAAAAGACAAATATCTTTCTTGACAAACATCTCTCACTTCAAGAAAACTGGACTAAGATGGTAAAAAGACTGTAAACATTAGAAATCAGTTGGTAATGTGAAAAACATTCAAGCTAATAATTAAAGAAATGCACATTCACACAAAAAGATGCCCCTTTTTATTTTTAGATTGGCACATTTTAAAAAGAACAAATCCACTTTGATGAGTGCATAGGAATTAAATACTGTCAAACACCATTGGTGATAGATACCATAGGTAATAAGAGGTAATATTCCCATAGGTAATAATAAGTTTATGTATAAAAATTGTAGACAGATATTCTACTTCCAATAATTTGTCCTAAGGAAATCATAGGATAAGTGAACAAAGATATTTGTGCAACATTTTAGTGTGGTATGTAACAGTGAAAAATCCAATACAACCACAACCTAAGTGCTATCAGTGAGGCTGATTGAAAGTTGGAAAGTTCCTGAAATGGAATTCTAGACAGTCAACAAAAATAAGCATGCAAATATATATTTGGTAGTATAAAATATGTCAACAAAATATTCACATAAAAACATTAGAGTTAAGAGAAATAAAACAATTTATATAATATATCCATACATAGAAAAACTCTTTATATTACACATCAAAATTTTAATAAGTCATTTTGGGGTAGTTAGATTATGGGTAATATTCTACTTATTTGTATATTTCTGCACTATCTGAATCTTTTACAATGATTATTATAACCAGAAAAGAAAATTAAAAAACCAACTGTGAAGGAGAGAATGAGAAGAGAGGAATGATCAAAGGGAGGGAAAGTCGTTTCTGCTTTAGCTGCTTTTTTGTCTTCTGAGGCTACACTGTAAAAATTACCTTCTCTCAGTTTTTTACTTTTCTCTTAATTCAATGGAGAGGCTCTTAAACCATGTATATTTAAACCAAAATCTTGTAATTTAGGGAAAAAATGATAAATCAATCCATGATCTTGATTTTGCCTTAGGAGAAAATACAGTTCGATTGGATGACCAACAACACAAAACACCTGTTAAGTCAAAGTATGCCAGAAAACTTGTTATCTCGAACTGTTTGCTCTTCTACTTTTACTTTTGCAAAACCTTCCCTAATGGGGCTTCCCTGGTGGCTCCCCTGGTGGCTCAGAGGGTAAAGTGTCTGCCTGCAATGAGGGAGCCCCGCATTCGATCCCTGGCTCGGGAAGATCCCTTGGAGAAGGAAATGGCAACCTACTCCAGTATTCTTGCTTGGAGAATCCCATGGACAGAGGAGCCTGATAGGCTACAGTTCAAGGGGTCGCAGAGAGTCAGACAGGACTGAGCGACTTCCTTACTCTTTCTTTTGTTTCCTGATGGGAAGGTTAAGGGGTTAACTGGAGGCCGGCCACTCATTTCTTCTAGATCCATCAGTCAGTCAGTTCAGTTGCTCAGTCGTGTCTGCCTCTTTGTGACCCCATGGACTGCAGCACGCCAGGCTTCCCTGTCCATCACCAACTCCCAGAGCTTGCTCAAACTCATGTCTAGATACCATCAGTTCAGTTCAGTTCAGTCGCTCAGTCGATACCATAGGTCATGCTTATTTGTGTCCCTTGCAGAATCGTTTTCATTTAGTTGAGTTTTAGTGCAATGCCTTCAGTTAAAAGTTGGAGACCTTCTTCATTCATTCAACAAATATTTATCAAAGCCTACCCTGTGCCAGGTACTGTTTGGGACCTATCAGTATCCAAATTTCCTGGAACTTGCTTTCAATTCTTCTAAGAAACAGCCAAATAAAGGAAGGTTTGGTGAGGTTATCTGCTACTTTATTCAGTATCTCATTGAAAAGTTTAAGAAATGAGAACAGGAAAAGCAGTTAAGGAATTCATGTATACTTTACTCATAAGCAAATAAAGGAAAGTTTGTTTGGGTTACCAGGAAGCTTAGTCTACTGTTAGCTCAACTTGAGTAACTGTAAGATTTTATGTCCATCCGATTCTGAAACAAACCTTTCTTCCTTTTAGAACTCCTTATCTTTTTCATCTGTATTTTCACTGACTTTGTTTTGTAAAAATTTGAGTTATTTCACTGTTTCCTAGTGTATTTGTGAACTGCCTCAAACCTGAAATCCTTGTGGGTTTTAAGGAACAATATAAACAACACCACGAGGAAACAGACAAATCCAGATTGTGATGCATTTTTTCAAGACAACTGACCTTGTTTTTAAATAAAAGCCAATGTGAAATGTGAAAGGGGGTGTTCCAGTTTGACAAATGAGGGGCGGGGGAACATAACAAATGCAAGAAGTGGTTTGTGATTGGATCCTGGCTCAAAAGAACATATCTGCTATAAAAGATTATTTTTGAAGAAAGCTGAACAAATTTTGAATATGATATGAGTAATAGGTAATATTGACAAGATTGTTAATTTTCTCCAGACCTGATAATAGTATTATGATTATGGAAGAGAATGTTATTTTTAAAGATGCATACGGAAGCATGTTGAGGTGGTGTGTTTTGTCTCAAACTTTGGGATAATTCAGCAAAAAAAAAAGTTTTACATTTATATAAAGTGTATATGACAAACTTAATTGTTGAGTCTGGGTATTGGGTAGTGTTGAATTAGAATACTCTTTCACATATTCTGTATATTTGTAAATTTTTTAAACAAAATCTGGAAAAATTACATATGAATGACTTATTTTTTTCTTCTAGTACTATTTGTTTGAGTGAAACCATCTTGTACTATAGCGTAAGGGGGCGGGGCAATTTAAAAAATGGTTTGATTAGCAGTCTTAAATTCCAGGATAACTTTGATTATTCATAAATGTGGTATCGATCAGTTCTGAGCGAGAGTTGCTTCACTGCAGGTGGAAGCTAGAATACAGACGATAGAGAAGCGAGGGCCGAGAGGGTAGACCACCGTTTCAATAAATCCCTGGTTTGTTGTTATTTTTGCAGCTGTTACTATGACATCACTAGAGATCTGGAATTACGCCTGGTCTACCGAACTCTCGCGATACTAGAGCCCAGTGGAGCGCAAAATGCGGTGGGAGGGGCTGGGGCGAGATCGACTGACTTCCGGCCAGGCCGTTGTCTGGGTGGCGCGGTCGAGTCATCGTTGGGCCTCGCTGCTTCCATCTCCCTTCCCTGCCCCCCGCCCCAGCGCGGGGGGTCGATCAGCCAAGCGGGGGCGGGAAGCGACGCGGACCTTCCCCTTTCTTTCGTTCTGGCCTGCTCCCCGGCTAGCCGCTCTGGGTCCCTGGGACCCGCGAGGCCCGGTCTGAGGGCCCGGGGCCTACGTGGGCCCGCCGCCGGGCCCCATGAGGCATAGCCTGACTAAACTGCTGGCGGCCTCGGGCAGCGACTCCCCGACGCGTAGTGAGAGCCCGGCGCCCGTCGCGACCTGCTCGCTGCCCTCGGACCTGACCGGGGCGGCGGAGGACGAGGGGACGGCGGCGGCCGGATCGCCCGGCCGCAGACAGCCGCGCGGCGACGAGGGCGAGTCGGAGGCCGGGAGGGGGGGCCGCGGCGGCGTGGCCGCGCGCGCGCCCTCGCCTGAGGAGATGGAGGAGGAGGCGATGGCCAGCGTCCCCGGGGAGGAGACGGAGGACATGGACTTTCTGTCCGGCCTGGAACTGGCGGACCTGCTGGACCCCCGGCAGCCGGACTGGCACCTGGAGCCCGGGCTCAGCTCGCCGGGGCCCCTCTCCTCGTCCGGCGGAGGATCGGACAGCGGTGGCTTGTGGAGAGGCGACGACGACGACGAGGCCGCGGCTGCCGAGATGCAGCGCTTTTCGGACCTGCTGCAGAGGCTGTTAAACGGCATCGGAGCTTGCAGCAGCGGCAGTGACAGTGGCGGCGGCGAAAAGAGGAGGAGAAAGTCCCCAGGAGGCGGCGGCGGCGTCGGCGGCAGCGGCGGCGGCAACGACAGCAACCAGGCGGCGACAAAGAGTCCCCGGAAGGCGGCGGCGGCGGCTGCCCGCCTCAACCGGCTGAAGAAGAAGGAATACGTGATGGGGCTGGAGAGCCGAGTGCGGGGGCTGGCCGCCGAGAACCAGGAGCTGCGGGCCGAGAACCGGGAGCTGGGCAAGCGCGTGCAGGCTCTGCAGGAGGAGAGTCGCTACCTTCGGGCCGTCTTAGCCAACGAGACCGGACTGGCTCGCCTGCTGAGCCGGCTGAGCGGCGTGGGACTGCGGCTGACCACCTCGCTCTTCAGGGACTCGCCCGCCGGGGACCACGACTACGCTCTGCCCGTGGGGAAGCAGCAGCCGGACCCGCTGGAAGACCAGGACGACTCGGCCGGAGGAGTGTGTCTGCATGTGGACAAGGATAAGGTGTCGGTGGAGTTCTGCTCGGCGTGCGCCCGGAAGGCGTCGTCTTCTCTTAAAATGTAGGGTCAAGTAATCCGCTCTTTATCCGCGTTTATCCCCTTTCAACTCCCTTACATCATGTAAAACACCTTAGTGGGACATCGTCACTGGACACATTTCAGAGGAGGAAAAAAAAAAGTAATATTGAATCTTTAAGTGTTTAGCTAAAAGCATGAATGTGACACTGTAACCAACTCCTAATGATAACATGTGACTATTAAATCTCTCTGACAGTTTCTTTTTTAGGTGATTTCCTTCCTGCCAGGCTCCGTTGTAGGGGTTACAGAACAGTCGTTCCCGCCTCACCACCTGGTAAGGACCCATCTCTTCACGTAACGCTCATGCTCTGCTGCTTAGTCTACTTTAATGGGCAACATCTCAATTTGTGCGTGTGTGTGATTTTTTTTTGTTTGTTTGTTTGTTTTCTTTTTCGGAAGTTGGGAGGGGAATCTAATTTGGGCCCTGTCCACCCTGGAAACAGACTTGTGCTGGTCAATAATGTACTCAAGATGCTTCTTCTGGTTGAAATAGCTGTTAATGTGTCCCCTTGTTCAGACTTGCGTGTACCTAGCTCTTCTGTCCCCAGTGTGGACATGGCCTTGGATGACATCGGTTCCAACTGTACACTGAAAGCTGCTAATAGAGATACAGTTTGGAGACAGTGACACAGGTGAAGTTGAATGGAACTTCCGAGTTGTACAAGGTGCAAATTGGAATTCCAATTTTAGAGCAACTTTTCAGAGGTTGACAATAAGTACTTGGGGCATGCACAAATGTGATAGTTACTTTGCTGGAGATTACAGAAATCTCTTAAATATAAGAATGCCTTTTAGTTTTAATAGATCTAGACATACAGTCTATTCAGATTAATAGATTTTTATATCTCAACATTAGAGAAGTTGGAAATTAACATGCATACCAGACTCCTATGTTAGTTACTTGAAGGAGGAATAAGAATGGTTAATGAAATGTTTCTTTGAGGACCAGCACAGTGATGACCCTATCACTGAATATGAATAAATTGTTGAACACCTTTATTTTTGTTGTATTAAATTTTTAGGTTAAATTTATGTATGATTAGATATTGAAGGTTATGAAATGTGAATGAAAACGTGTAAAGTGAGGCTTCACAAAGAATCTTACTCTACATATTTCAAAGGTATTTGTCCTATTTAAAAATGAGTTTTAAAATTGAGTGATTCTGGCCAGTTAATGACACGATTGACACTTCCAAAGTTGGGACATAGACTTCCATAGTTGGGACGACACTGTTGTCCAATTGTATATAGATTGAGTCATGATGTCCTTCAATGTAAGGGACATGAAGAAATTCTTTGTGAAACATCACTGTTTGATAAAGTATATACGTATTTAGCATCCTTGTTTTTCTTTGTGCTAAAGTGGATACAGCTGTTGGGGCAGAAGAGACGGGACCAGCTGCTGGCCACATTTCCTGCTTTATTTTAAAAGGTAGTATAAGAAATGAGGAAAAAGAGGTAATTTCAGGGCTTCTGCTTTTATTTTAAAATGTTCATAATTAAAAAGTATTTTCCAGCAGTCCAAAGATGTAAGTTATCTTACACATAAAATGTTTTATTTTGTTGTTATTTGGTTATGAAAATGGAATCTTGTTCTTGCACAACTGTAAATGTTTTGTTGGTAGATAATACACTCTGAGACCTAACTTGGTCTCTGGTTTCCAGTGCATTACAGCATATTTTGTAAAATCATCTACTGCACTTGAGCATGAATATGGATAGTAGCCAAACTCACAACCTGGAGTGATGAACCTGCTTATACCTAAGTGCAGGAGCAAGCCCCTCACAATGCAGCTGCATGGATTTTTAGTGCCTACTGAATAATATATAATATATATAAACCAAAAGTAGTTGGAAAAATTATTTGAAATGACTAATTTGTGCTATCTTTATGGAATATGTTAAATGTAGCTTTTTGAAACAGAAGCCTTGAATTGAAATTTAATTAATACTTGAACATTTTGTATATATATATATCTTTGTATATAATTTTGTGCAGTACCAATGACAAAAATATGGTGTCATAATAAAATCAGGTTTGTTGATCTTTCAGTTATGGGCTCAAAGAATTTATTCATCTCTTAACATGACATTGGAAAACAATGGATGAAAATAGGAAAAATGATTGTTGTTAATGCTGTGGGTCTTAGGTTCTGAAAGCAGTAAGTGCGTTTTTCTAAAAATTATACCATTCCTTTGGAATATTTTCTTCCTAACGTCAATGATTTTCCTGCATTATTTGAAGTTTGGGGGCTGGGGAGAAACAGTCAAAGCTTTCTGAATTGGGATGCTTTGAAATTCCAAGTATAGATTTTTAGAATGTCATTTTATAAATGGCAGTTTTTGGAAATACTTGATTAAGAACTTTTGAAAATGGAGATTAGTATCAACTGTTTTAAAAGCTGCTTTGTTAGGTTCCTTATGTTTTTTAACTGTCCTTCTTAGTTTCCATTTCATTCTCTTTTTTTTCTAATTTTGGTGACTTATAGTGATTTTGTCATTTTTTTGCATCAACGTCATAGTCTTGTTTTTACATGGTATTGCATGTATTTAAGACCTATCTAACAGGGACTTTAAATAAATTTGGTCATATTTATGTGTAAACACATTTTACTGTAAATGTTTGGGTTTCTGAATTTACAACAGATCTGTTTATTTCAGTATGTAGTAAACAATATCTTAAAGTGTCCTATTCACTACTTGTTAATTAAAAAGTTATGATTAATATGAAACTGTTGTCTTACTATTTTTAGAAAATTGTGTTCTGAATGATTAGTAGCTGGATAAAGCAGATTTCTGGAATATAATATGGATTGTTTAGAAGTTTTCAGGTTTGGCTCTATTTACTGTAGTGGATGAAAGCAGTTTAGTATTTGGGGAGTCTTTTTTTCTTTTCCTAATTGTGCCTCTATGGCAAAATGATACAGAAAAAACTGAAGATGTACCTTTTAATAGTTGTCTTCTGATTGTGACAGGAATTCATACATTAATTGAACTAACACATCATATTGACCTGCTGTTTCTATCATATTGACTTAATGTTTCTGCACTTCCTTGACCAAACCTAACGAAAGAGTCCACGTTTGTTAAAATGTAGTCACACCTCTGATATAATCCAACAAAAAGTGTTCAAAATATTTTAAATATTTGTTCATTTTATAATCACTAAATTAATCTCTCTCTCTTCTCTTTAAACAGCTTAGCAGTGTCTGCAAAAACGAATCTTTTCCTACAACCTGTTAACTGACTGGACTGATGGTAACAAAGTAATTGTGGGAGCCATGTCGGTCAAAAATTTGGCATCTGCTGAAAAAAATGAATGCCATTTTCAAGTTCCCAAATTACTTCTATACTGATTTCACTTTCCAGATTTCACTTTCCAGAAATGGAGATATGAAAAGATTGTCTGGAATCCTTGAAAGACTTAATAGGAATTCATGAGACTAAGTTAATTTTGGAACAAAATTACACATTTTTTGTCTTTCATGGGAGTGATACTCAGTTCTTTGCATACCTTTTAGAAATTGTAACCATTGGAGAAGAGATTGATAGTATTACATCAAGGAATATTAGATTCTTTTCATAATCAAGAGCACATTTTATGGAATTACATTTAGTGCAGTAGGATTACATTAACAGGCCATCAGTGATCACAAGACCGTATCATGAGTTTGTATTTATTTCCTGGAACATGAGAGCTAATCTGAAGTACAGACAGACCTTGCTGAGTAGAATATAAAAGTTTATGTAAAGTCTTTAACTATAAAGAGTAGTCTTTTTAAATAGATGCATTGATTTGTCTGTGTATCTTTGAAAAATTGAATATGATTAAATGTATGGGTAGTTAATTGCAATTCAGGATAATGCCAAGATGTGTGGATCTGAGGTTTTGGCTTCTTGAGCTTCCTCTGAGGACATATTAAAATTATTTTGAGGTTTCTAATGAATGGTATACTAGTTTCTACTGTTTTATATAAAATTTCTCTAGTATGAAAGGCTTTTTAGCATTCTGGATGATGGGAGTGTTTTTTTTTTTAAACAGAATATGGTTGTTTTACTTATTTGAAACATTTTTCCAGTTCATTACAAGTGTGAGAAAACACTCAAAACTCTGGTGGTTTTATTTCATTTTTGTTGGATTATGTTAATACATTCTTTCACCTGGTCTAGACTGGGTCATTTTATCTTACTTATTTCAGAGGTGTGCAGATGGTAGAAGTGGGAGGGAGTAGGAGATAGGCTCTTATTTCTCTCTCCAAAATGATTCGTCATCATTCATTATTCAGTTTGATTATTGTATGGTGATACACAAGACTGATTAAATTCACTCAGTTTCAGGTTTATTCAGTGTCTGATGTCAGGCAGCAAAGAGCCTTCTCAGTTATACTTAGGTGATTGATGGATACTCCTACATATTGAACAGTACAGCTGGTTGCGTTGTAACCACAGTCAGGTAGGCGTCAACACTATTTGGTGACCATTAGTGCTGCTTTGATAGAGTGGATAATTCACTGATAATGAGTGAATGTTTCAAAATACGTAATTATCTAGTTCCGCATTTGGGAGGTAAACTTTTAAGTTTTTACTAGTCAGTCTTAAGCTAAGTAATCTGATGACTAAAGTTGAATAGGTTGTAAAATATTTTCAGGTGTTTGGTTTTCCCCCCTGGCTATCAACACAAAGGTTTTGAGACCTTCCCAAACGGTTATGTTTTTATATTTTACTGTGCTGTTTTTTATTGAGAAACCAGGTGGTTACCGTCTAAGCCAGGAATCAAAAAGGGGATGTCCTCTATTAGATACTTGTAAAGTGTTTGCTTAGCTAGCACAGTATTTTGTAACTATTTGAACTTGAATACCTCAATAATCTGCCAGTTACTCCCTGTTTGTCTTATAATAACAGACTGAGCTCAGAGCTCTAACCTAGACAGCAAGCGGTTATTTACATTCAGTTTTAAAGTGCAGAAAAATGAAACTGGAGATTCTTTAAATTTTATTTCAGAAGTAAATTACTTTATCATTAGCAGCAAATCATGTAAGGAAAACTATGTATTTTTTAAAAAGGTTAATAGAAAGTTGCCCTTTTCATTGCTTTGGTTACTGATGATAGTGTTTTTATTTCTGTTTTTTAACCTTTCTCCAGTTTGTACATTCAAGATTTCTTAGCCATTTTCCCCACTTTTTAAAAAGAAAGCAGATCACAGTGCTTTATTAAAATTTTTCTAATAATTTTTTTATAGTTTCTTTTTTTTGCTGTGCTGCAGCCTTGTGGAATCTTAGATCCTCAACCAGGGATCCAGCCTCAGGACCTCAGCAGTGAAAGCATGGAGTCCTAACCACAGAACTGCCTGAGAATTCCCAGTTTTTTGTAGTTTTGTTGACCCAAATTTGTTGAAAATCTTTTGCTCAATTTTCAGTTAATCTGATTTAAAAATCTAGCCACTTGGTGTTTGGAACATTTGTGTAGCTGTTAATATATACAGATTTGAATTTTATTGGTGGCTGAGCATCGTTTAGAATGTGCCATTAAGTTCTGTATCTCTCCTTTATAGTTCCTGGACCCTTTTGGCATCTAATTTACCAGTCTGGGGATTACAAATTAATACCTTAAGTATAGTATAACATGAG